TTGGAGAAGTTAGAGAAAGCCTAATTTGTAGTTCTACGACGCGTCCCTTAGCATGCAATGCAATATTACCAGGTTATATTGAGAGATCTGCGCGAAACTGTTGATTTTAGATTTTGATGTAAATATTTAGAGAACATGCTCTCTGCTCAATGACATGAAAAATAAGGCTTTTTTTTAAGGCTGTTTGCCGGGATGTTTTTCGCCCTCAGGAACACTGGTGCAATGAACATTTTCACCAGAGTCGGATCTAATCACATTTCACCTCACGCGCACTCAACCTGGAGTTTGCTTAACTTTTCTCAAAAGGGCTGAATTCCCCCGTGGTTCAGCTTTTTCTTTTTCGCCGTCTTCAGGGTTATCTTTCATTTCTGGGTCGTGAGAGCCGAAAAAAACATACTCGGGCGTTTTTGATGTGTCGTTTCCTGCAGAAAAGGTGTGTAAACACTCGGCTACGCGCTCAGGATGCAAACACGATGAGGCTGTCTTACCCTACTTTACACCACTTTGATGTTTGGGCGATGCCTCTAACATTCTTGACGGAGACTCGAGCTCGGAGGCTGCAATCTTCACATATCCCTTAAAGCTCGGGGCTCAAGGCAGTGAAGTCTAGGGACACTTAGACTCCCAGGACTCTCAGTCCTGGGTGTTTTTTTTTTTCGTGTGTTATCCCGGCGCCTCTAGCGGAAGGCAACGCGGTCAGTCTGACATCACAGGGATTTGTGGCAGAAGCTGGGGGGCGAACGTGTGACAGCTTTTTGAAGGAGAAAGTCTCCTGCGTGCGTTCAGCATAGACGGTCTCAGGGCTTTGGCTCTGTTAAGGACGAACGGCCACCCAAATGATTTCAAATCTGATTGATGCACGCTTAGTGCACCATTAACTTTCATATCATGGTGGGGGGAAAACCATGCATTGGCCAGAGGTTCCTGATTTTGATGAATAGCAGCCTGCGTGGTATATGCACTGTATTATCTTTGCATTCGGCTGAAGCGTTGGTCTAATAACCAATAATTAGTAAAAGGTTGATCAAACACTTGAAACTTCATTTGGACTTTAGTCCAACAGGATTCGCCCCCCTTTATTTCCAGCTACACACAGTACCACCAGTGTTTATTGCCCGAGGCGGCGTATTTCCCAACACTGCTGCCAAGAACTAGAACGTCAATATTGACCTGCACAACTGGATGATGTTCAGTGACAACACTTGTCTTGTGTCCATTGTTGCCAATGTTTACTGCCGTTTTCGTGCATGGTCTTTGTCACTGTTATTAAAAGCACGAGTGTATTACAGAAGTCCGGCGTGCTACATGTCAATCTGCCACCTTTATTTCCTGCCTTTCTGCACACACGGCACAGCCAGGATTTTTATTTGGGCGAACCAGCCTACATCTGCTTTCCACCGGGCGCTGCTATTTCGTTTCTTCCCCAAATAACGGGGGTCTTCTCTGCTTCCAAATCCAATCTTTTCTCCTCCTACACTTCCTCCCGGCGGATGCTCCCTAAATAACGACGCAGCACTTCAAACAGGCATCCTCTTCCTCTTGAAACCATCAACGGGTCCCGGCCTGAGGCTGTCCGGCAAGAAGACGAGGAAGCAAAGAGAGGGGGCTATCGGGGGGTTATAAAAAAATGTATTCAAAACCTTTTGGGGAGCTCATGTTTGGACCTGCAGTGCAGCTTATGTTGATCCTGCAGCTTCATTCCGAGGCGGATTCAGCACAGGCGCCGACTGGCATATCCATAATTCCCTCACAGACCGGAAACTCCTCTACCCACTGTCAGGAAAAGCATTTAAGAATGGCGGCAGCGGGCCAGCCATGTTTGGTGAGGGACGGAGGCTTTACATTTTGAGTGGGCCAAATGAATTTCAGCCCGGTCCTTCAATCACAGAAGTTAATACTGTCGGCTTTGCTTAAAACGTTTCTCAAGAGGCATAATGAATGTTGTCTTTTACTTTTCACATGCTTCCAACGGATGTCCGGCAATACGAGCAATCCGTGTGCCTGCAAAGGACTTCAATGCTACGTGGTAAGGTTCAGGAAAATACTGTGGTTTGGTTTAAGATAGGTACACTTGTTACATACCTCCGTGGTAACCCTCGTGGACATTTCTTGATGTTTTTAGAGGCAGCTAAGAGCTCACCATTACGGGGGACAGATAACGCATAACATTTGGTAGCTGAGTAACGCAAAGTAGACCAGCAATGGCGGCTTTTGTCAGCATTTCAGACTCCAGGAACATCCATTCCTGTCATGCAGACGTTTCGTAAATGCATCACCTAACATCATTACCTAGTTCAAGTGCCGATCTCCAACGGCATGTCTGCTCCGGGGGTTTGGAAGGACCACATTTGTCTCTCCGTTTAGTCCCGAATCTACCCCCCCTCCCTCCCCGCCAGTCTGCAGCTCGGTCTGGCTCCATGCTTATATGGGCTATAATGGGGGCTCGCAGTGTGGGCCATTATTCACTCCAATACTTTCTGTGCAATTCTCCTTGCTGGTCAATAGCCGAGGATGTAGACAGAATGGAAAAGGTTTATTTGTTCCACGGGGGCACGGAGGAAACATCACAACAAGCCTTCATCTTATGGCAACTTTACTTTTCAGAGAAATGACGAATAAAATGTCTTCACATTTTACTCACATATTGCTTTGTTTATTCATTTTTTTGTCATCCAGGCAATATTGGCAGTTGGGATTTTTTCCCATGTTTGGAAGCTAGAGTACAAACGTGGGCTCTTCTCTGTGCTTTGTCCTCGTTGTTATTTCTCTCTTTACTTATCAGAGGATGAAATTGGGGAAAATGATGAAGAAACAGGGTGATATGTCATGTCTATCCAATTACTGTCATTTGAGCTAAGGATGATATTCTACATGTGTTAATGAAACACATAATTCCGAATAGCAGCTCTTTTCTCTTGAGGGTAAGTGTTGGTCTTTTCAATAGTTTTATAACGACAAATGTCATTTTTAGCATATAAAACACTAAACGTGTTGTGTAAATAAATCCACATAAAATGATCCACCGGCTGTGCAGCTCTTCTCCGCTCCATGCAGAAATCTATAATCTTTACGTCATAGTTTGGGTCGTACTGTCGACTCTCATCAACCTAATTATCACCTGCAGCAAATCACCGGCTATCATTAAAAACAGGCTCAAACCCGCCCACGTTTTTACCCTCTGCTCCCGGTCGCCCTTTGAAAGGTATTGCACGCTTCGCCATGATTAGTCTGATTGGAGGTGGTGAATATCATATCCGCTGATCACTGCAAGGCGTCGTGAACATACCAAACACTTTGGTTTTACATCTGAAGAAAAGAAACTCACTGAAACCAGAGAAGCGCCACAGTACGTTTTAAGCTTGAATTTTTAAAGCGAAGTCTTGGAAAGAGAAACCTTTGAGCTGATGAACGCGGCCAGACTGCTGTGGGGGGAATGCGTATAGCGAATGGGAGAAAACCCAGGACTTAATGACAGAAAGATTGGACTCCTGAATCCGCAGTGCAATCGTTTGGCTTCAGAACATTTGGATTATGCCAGTGAACTGTTTGGGGAAATATGCAGGTTGGGTTTCTTGCAGTTTTGGAACTTAAAAAGAACAGTTCCATGTCCCCTTTCAGCTAATCGAGACTTGCACCTGCTTTTTTTAGATTTACTTGAGGGCGAGTACAAAATATTCATTGCTGGATTCAAAAAATATAAATATATAGCCAGAACCCAGAGACCTTTGCCTGCAGCGGTAGTGTGTGTGTGTGTGTGTGTGTGTGTGTGTGTGGGGGGGGGGGCAGAAATCATTCAACATTTTCAGCGACAAAAGAGCCATGTGACGCATCGTAGCTTGAACACTGCAGCTGGCGGACTCTGAAAGTGTTCTGACCTTCAAAGTGTCCTCCTGTTGAGAGCGCTTTTGGTAAAAGGGGCCACGTGTCACCAGAGGATACATGGCTGCTGCTATTTTTTTTAAATTCTTTTCATATTTTTATGTGTGGAGAATGTTGGAACTCAATAAAAAGGAGTTACACGTATAAGTTCCAAGTATATTTAAAAGGTTATATAACCAATTTAGTGATTGCAGATGATCTAATCAGGTTAGCCGCATGGGTTCGCTAGCCAGTTTCCTGCAGCCCGAACTTAAAGCTGCTTTTCTCATACGTGAAAGAACTGTACTGTTCATTTGGATTCATTTGTGGCCACCTGATGAATGTCAATCCAACAATCAGCTTCCAACAGTCAACTGTTGTATATATAACAAGCTCTTTAGCTGATAAATGTTATATTGCGTTTACCAAAACCTTACTTTGCCCGCTATTTGGTTATGAGTTTGTAGTTCTTATTTATTGGAAACAGCTGCCAGAGCAAACAGCTGCAGGGCAGAAAATAACAATAAATCACTTGTTCCTTGTAACACATATCCAGAGACCCGTCTAATAACATCTTACGGCGATATAGAAAAATCAAACCGTAGACCTCGCATGACTGGACCTGAAACTGGAATGAACTAAAAAAATCAGCTCAAAATTTCAAGTTTGCTCCATTCAACACATATTACATCTTAGGCAACCATGTCATTTGAAACGTATGCAGTTCGTTTTCAAAGAGCCACATGAAGCGACTGGAGATGATACGAGAGAGGAAGGCAGACAGCATGTCATCTCATTATAAATCAGTTTGGCATCACAGCAAAACTTTATTGTGATCCAAGCAAGTGAGCTGACTTTCATTATACACCAACCGCACACCTACAACACGTGATCACCAATCACACCTCAAGCTTTTAGTAATGTGCACATGACATGATGAGAGTACTGGAAGAAACAGAGCAACCGGGGGGGGCAGGTCTTGACTGAGGGGGGTGTGCGTTTTTGTGTTGCCTACACCCATATGTGCAGACGTATGTGCGTGAGAGACAAAGGGGGGGGGGGGGGGGGGGGGGGGGGGGGGGGGGGGGGGGGGGGGGGGGGGGGGGGCTGTCTAAATAGCGGAGCTTCCTTCCACTGAAGCACTCCTTCGTTCCCCCACCGAGGATGGAGCATCTGGATCGCAGCGCGCCCCCGTGCCCACAGGCGGTCACCAGCGAGCGCGCAATTGTTTGTCTTTGAAGTCACGGACGCGCGCGTAAACTGACATCTCCCCTCGCGCTTCCCCGGAGACACCTTTCAGATACGTTCGCGGGTGTTCCTTCGCGCTCCCGGTGTGGATTATGTGCGGGTGGACGGCGGGGACGGAGTGCGTCAAGTGAGCGCACGGATCCAACAAGTGGATGCGCGAGGTCGCTCGCAGCAAACAGACGCTGGGACTGAAAAGTCTGAAAACCGCCGATGCGTTGATGAGCTACAAATCAGCGTACCGATTAGTCGGCATATGTCTAACATGTGCGCATCGTCTCGGCCTGAGCTAGTTCTTTAATCCGGTGATTGCGTGTGGAGGTCGGGGCATTTTGCAGGAGAAAGACACACGACTACGGCGAGGTAAGACATCCTTTGATATCCTCAGTCATTGACCAAGAGACAGGTTTTAGCGGACAAGCTGCGGCACCCCCCCCACCCCACCCCCCTCCCTCCCTCCCCCCGCACCCGCACACCCCTGTACCCGCATCCATGGGCTCGCTTTCCCGTTCCGCCGGTGGCCGTTCGGGGAAGTTGGGAAGCTCTTCATAGACATCTCTGTATGACCAGGACGCAGGTGGCAACCAAAGGTCGCAGCCATGCCGATGCATCCGGTCACCTCCACGCTGATGTACCGGGGCATCTGCACCATCCCCGACATCCTCTCCTACAGCGCCCCGGTGAACCTGCCCGAAGACGAAGTTGAAGGTGAGATGTGACACCTGCACGTGCACGACGCCGGGGCTGCTCGAGGTTTTTTTTCTTGTATTCATGACAAGCGCCTTGCAGTGCGCTGTCTGTGGTCAGCTGCCCTCGTTCAGAACCTTGGACAGCGCCGCGAGTTCCAGAGAGAGAGAGAGACGTGGGAAGAGAGATTTACTGCTTCAATATTAGACTATTTTGATGAAAAAATGATGCTCAAATAACCCTCATCCAAAAAGCAACCATCCTCAGCAAGCTTGTTCTTCAGTATCCTGACGATAATAACGTAATGTGAAGCTGCAACATCTGCACATTATCTCCCAGCGGACACAATGTTCGAGTGCCACAGCGAGAAAGTTCCTGATTGGATCACTGCGACTCGTGTCTTTGTTACCGTAGTAATGAAAATGTTGTTGGGGAAACAATGTGGAAACACATCAGATCCAAAGTGTTGCCTTTCTCAATAGATTTTCATTAAAGTGTGAATGACAGACAAGCTGGGCCTTGTGGGAAACAATCAATGAGCAGAATTTCCCAGGGAGGAACCAGTAATTAAATTGTAACTTGAACTAGGGATTTACACTCAATTACACTCCTCTGTCTCATGCACCCATACATGTAAATCTGAATTACAATGGGTAGGGAGATTAAGTGCAGAGGTTGATCAGAATTCAACTCATTGAGCAAAAGAGGCCAAATATAATTTTAGCTCCCAAAAAAACAGCCTCGGTATCTGTTACATGACACCTGTTTGAGAAGGCGCACGGCACCGGACAAAAGACAGAAGCAGCGGGAACGGGTGCAAGATAGACCAGGCTCCTTCAAGCTGCCATTCTGCCTTTTTTTTTGTTCTCCCTTTGACAGCCATCGAACTGAGCCTGCGATGAAAAGAGAAGTGTCAACCCACCATCCTAATCAGTGCACACACGCTTTGCCTGGATGGATGCACAGAATAAACAATGATGGATAGTCTTATACATCAGTGATTATTTTACTAACTTGAAAAGACGCTTTTAGTTGTCGAGATTGATTGGGATCTCAGTTTCCTCTTCACCCTCCCACTGTAGTTTACAGTCAGCTTCGGGTGCAATAAACAAACACCGCTTCACTTTGACTTTCACTTAGTGAAATCCACGCAGGCGGCCTCGCTGCAGTCGCCGTGCGGAAAGACCGAGCGATCCGTTCGGCCTTTCCAGCTCAACGCGCAGGCGGCGGTTTGGATGGAGGCTCCGTGGTGCGAGCAGGGAAGCTCGGGGTAACGCACAGTTACCGGGCGGGGATTTCTTCAGGCGTTGCAGAGCATTAGACCCCGTGTGAGGAATGTCGTACGTGTTGCGGAAGAGGTTCGATTTTTAGGATTCAAGGTTGAATGCCGTTGGTGTCGTCAAATGTGTAACTGCGGATCACAGCTTTTTCCTGCCAGGTAGCAAGAAATGGGAACAAAGCTATTGAAACCGGGCTTATTAGGTTGTGGCGTAGTAGCAGGAGAAAGTGAATATGGGTACTTTACGTTGATGGTTTCTGATATGACATATTGTGCATATTTTAGTTCTAGGCCCCAGGCCCCCTTCAACAGATACTTTTTAAAATCAGAAAATCATTCGGTCTTAAGCGTCAGTCTGTTGTCTCATCACTGCTGGCATCTGCTGAGAGACGGATGGGAATTGCCTGGTTGTGTCACATTCATCCGCCTGGCCGTCAGGGAGATAGGGCCTTTGTCACGAAACCAAATAGCACATTAATGAATATCTGTGTGCCATTCATGTATCGGGACAGCGGGCTCAAAACCTCTTGGCACGAACAGCCAGGGACCCAATTTTCAATTACTGGGTTTGGACACCGCGGGGGATTGGAACGTGCGTTGCGAGTTCGGAACCGAGATGTTTATAAAAACTAAAATGGGACTCATTGGTTGGTTGTGGGGTCTTTGAAAACATTGTTTATTGGTCTCATGTAAAAAGTTTCCAGAGAAAAGGGGGGGGGGGGGGGGTAGAAAGTACGACAAAGCAAGCATAAATTGAATCTTCAATATTGGCTTCTGCATTCTCCATTTCCCTCCTACGCAAGAGGGACGAGAAAAAAGGACTGTTGGTCATATTGCCGCTGCTTGATATAGTTTGGACCTCCTCCACCACTAAAACACACACACACACACACACACACACACACACAAACACACGCGCACACACCAACAGCTCTGTTTCAGTATCACTGCAGGTGGAATTAAGTGGGAAGCCTCTTCCACACCGCCTAACAACAGCGCCGTTGGAAGCCGCTTCAAAATAGTCCCAGGGCTGAGCTTAAAGTGTTTGCAACAGATTCCAGGAGCTCTTGTAAACAAGCACCAGGTTTCCCGGAGACACAAAGCAAAGAGGATCAGAATCTCTCCCAGAAGGTCACGATCGCCGCATTTTATTTGTCGTATTCCAATGTTTGCCTCCTGTTCAATCCTGATCGCCACGGGAATGAACGCAGCAGCAATCTAACTATTCCTTTGACACGTTAGGCCCACAAATTCCACGCCTGATGACATTTTTTCTTTCTTTTAAGACGATTTTTCTGTCCATTTGTTCAGGCAGGAGAAGGGGGCTTTCCTCTTCTCCAGCGCTGACAGCGACTGGCTTGTCACTTTGCCCCCGGCGACAGGTAGCGGAGACGTCAGAAACAAGAAGCGGTCGGATAAATGCAACCCAGCTGGATTATATGTTTCTACATTCTTTCCTTTACTCCATGACACAAGCGAGAGTTTGTTAGAATTTGATTTTGGAGGCTGATAGCTCCTCTAAAAGCACACTGGCACCACTGTGCTCCTAATGGCGTCAACTGCCTGCGAGGCGATCTCCGTGTTTCTGCTCGACTCCTACAGCAGCTAGCGCACAAAACATTGACTCATCCTGCTTCGCCCCGAGGTGGAGGGTTGACTTCCATTCCTTTGGAAGCACTTACATGAATACAAATGAAGATATTTAAAGACGCCGGCATCTTCTTGGCAAGACTGCAATTATGCACACAGCGTATTGCTGGTGCAGAATCAGTGGGCGTTGTGGGGGTGCGCTTCCAAAGGGTCAACTGCGACCGTTTTAAAAACATGATGATTTTTGATATGCTGGCTCATTTCCACTAGTGTGGAGTGTGCAAATGATGCAGAGTTGTTTGTTTACCAAAAACCAAACACTTGCCTATAAAGTCTGCAACAACTGCAGAGTTCGTTGTTGAGTTTTATATATAAGATGCATGTGTGAGTGACAACTTTGTTCTGTGAAAGTGGCTGAAAAGTCTCAGCGGCTTTCCTGATTGTCATCAGATAAAAAAAAGAAGATTCACTTCCACAATCCATTTCCGGAAAAGGACATTGTTTGTGACGTTACAGATTAGCTGCTGGTATGAAAACACAATGAGCAGGATACATTCCACTTTGTACGTCGTCGTCCCGTCGCTCAGCTCTTTACCTCTTTACCTGCATGACGGAGTGTCGTTTGATAGAATCTCCCAGACGGACAGGCAGGAATGGATTTTCTTTGAATGTCTCTCCCGGTCGTGTCACCTGCTTGAAAGAAAAGGGCGGCGTACGAAGAAGCTCTGCTCGACACGGACGCTGATAAAAGTGTGTCACCAGAAATGGGTCGTCTCTTGTGGGGGTGAATGGACTCCAGGTCGATCTTTGCGCTGTGAGAAACGGATATTTTCTTTTTCTTAAAGTCTGGTTTTGTGGACCGGTTCCAGTGTGCAGTTTGTCATGATATCATTGGCTCAACCTTCATGAATAAATAACTCAGGGAACAAATACACTTAAAGCTGATGTTTAAGTGCTAATAACTTTAAAATGTGTGCGATACGGCCAGAATAGCTATAATAAAACGTTCAAAAATCAACTTTACAAACAGCATTGAGGATTCGTTGACGTGATGTAAATGCGATGGGTACAATTTGATGAAATTAGCATGCAGCAGCTAGCCTCGGCCTCTCTAGTCCATGACCACGTGTTCCTCCAGAGTCCACAGTGACTCACTGAAGTCTGCTGCTGGTCCAATTCTAAAGGACGAAGACGCCGACACTTCCGCGTTTTTTTGTCTGTATTGAAAGTTTGTTGGCGGGTTGGCGGCGAGAGACGACTTTGCTGGGCGCAGAGCGATCGGTAGAGGCAGTGGAGACGGAGGATGACCTTCAGTTAGCGGGGCGGCCCGCCGCGTGGCTGCGGCTCCTTTTAGAGTGGTGACACCAGACGTCCCCTCGACTCTGACAAAGCCAACGGACCGACAATCAGACACGTAACAGACAGCATGAAACGGCACGGAAATGATAAGACGCTTGTGGTATTTTGTCCAGCGCTCAGTTGGAAAAACGCACTTTCAAACCAAAAGGGTATCATTTGGAGAAACATTCTCTCTCTAGAGGAGAGTCGAAGGGAAAGATTGATACCACATTAGACTTCTGTACGATGAATATAAAAATACCGGGGCCAAACGGTTCACAGGGTGGATGTCTGTCTTCCAGCGTATTTTTATATATATCGGCTTCATTTTTAAATAATAATTCACAGCTTTAGTGCGGGTTACGCGCGAGGCTGTCTGGAGCTTCTGAGAAGTTGCCCGGCAACCAGAGAAGATTCCAGCGAGTGACGGCGACGGCCAGGAAGTCATAATCCTCCTTTAAACCTTTGTCTTTATACTGTGTGTTTATTTGTTCAACATACCGTCTGTTAATTAATGAGCTTTAGAATTAAATTGCAGATTTAGTTGCTGTTTGACAGAAGCCGGCAACCTGTTACTCCCGCTTTCTGGTCTTTGTAACTAATAAGCTAAGCTAATTAGCAGCTCCCAATATCACCTCACCCACTGCTCCACTGAAAGAAAATAAATGTAGGCTATTCGCTCAAAATATAAAGCCTTCCCTTTACAAAGGAAACGAGTCAAATGTGTTATTTCTATATTTGAAACAGAAAAATCTGCTCAAAGGTTGAAGAGGGAATTTGATTTTTTCCATTGGGATTCCAACAGACACCCACTCACGTAGTTCCACTGACATCCGCGGCCTTTTTTAGATTCTCAGCTCATCAGTTACTGTAATCCGGCACGACATCCTACCTCGGCGAATGGGCTGCTGATGGATAACATGTGAGGGTAGAGCAGCGCGGAGCATCATGAAGTGCTGTGATTACGGCTGTCGGGTTTGTTGCAGTTAAGTCATTTATTCCCGTTTTGATCGATTGCCACGATGGAGTAGATCCAGCAGCCTTTATTACCGGTGAAATTAACCGTGGTGAGTAATGGAAGGCGAGTCACACACTCCCGTGGCTAATATTCCCTCCCTTTGATGAACAATACTGCAAAGTGCACCAGACAATAACCAAGTCGAGCGGAGGGGAGAAAAAAACGAGATCCACAAGTGCGAATCAGGTCGGACGAGCTGAAATGCAGAGCGGAGGCTTTTGATTGTTCACTTCTGACCTTCGTTTGAGGTGCTTTTCATGTGTTTTTCGCCTCAGCAAGCGATCGGCCGGGATGATGAGAACCTGCAGCTTTGAAGAAAATAACAGCGAGGGAGAAAGAAAAAGGCAAAAATCAGAGACGACCAGCTGACGAGAAAAGACGGAAATGAGCAACAGAGACGAGAATTTCCTGGCCTTTCACTGACTTCAATCATTCAGGGTCAAGTGGGGTTTATCAAGTCGTCTCAGGGATTCCTTTCTTATTGAGGATAAAGCAAATCGACCTTTCCAACTTTTTTTTTTTTGTCTCTTGGCAGCGGTGCATCGGCGAGGTTTAAGCGCTTCGGAGGGAGGTTTCTTTTAAAACCAGAGATGAGCTTTTCCTTAAGACACAGATGTCTTACACTCTGCCACATACCCCTTATGAATACTCCAGAGCTTTATTAGAAGCCTGTAATGGTAATATTCAAATCTGCCCGGTGCAAAAGTCGGCCAATATCCAGCTAGAGAAGGATTATAGCTGCTAAGGGTGTTTAAAAGTAGCTGCTTAAAGTACACACACACACACACACACACACATAAGCAGTGTTTTTATCACACTGATAAGGTCTTAAATAAAGACTTGGTTTTCGCCGAGGCTAAATGTAACCTGATAAGGGGCAAAGCTTTGCTCCAGGCATGCCTCGAAGATCCAAGCGAACATTTCGGCCCTTTTCAAACGATTACATTTCTACAAGAGAGGACGACCTTTCTCTGCATCCTCGAGATTATCGCGGTGAACGCTGCAGAGGGAGGGGATGTAACGCGGATCCGAGCACCTCGCCACAGGCCTGCGTGACTCCATTTCCAAATGTGATTCCTCCCCCGGCTTTGTCCGCGGCAAAAGACCCGCTGCAGTTCATCGGGAGGACAGTGCGAGTACGCGGCGGCCCGTCCTCTTGTGGGAGTTCAGCTTCAGACGCCTGCTCTGGCGGCACACAGGCTTCTCCTCCTCCTCCTCTCTCGGATCGCCCCGCAGGGGGCCCCGCGCGGCGTCGCATCTTTGGAGGCCCTCTGCATCAAAGCGAACACCACCATGCACCAATAACACCTTCCATTCCTTTTTTTCAATCAATCGCTCTTTTGTTGTTGTTTGGGTCCGATGTGTTGAAACCAACCGCTCATGTTTTAATTAATGACTTTCTCCAAAAGCCTTTTGGTTTCAGCCTCAAATATGAAGAACGATGACTGAAGACTGTTTATTTTGGATGTTAGAAGGACGGTTGGGACATAACTTTTTTTTTTTTCATTATGCGTGCTCAGCATTAAGATCCATTTACTTCAAAGCTGCCAAACTAACTAGTGCTGAAAAGTTGCCAACTGACTTTCTTTGATTGCAGAGACTCATTCGAGGCTCCCCGGATATCACAGCCGTTCAGATAACGTCTGCCGGGGGCAGTTTTTCACAGAGAGGGAGGGAGGACATCTTTGCTTTGGACTGCATGGGCAGTTTGTCAGCATGGGGGGTGCTGTTGGTGTGGATCCATTTATTTCGAAATTGAAAACGGGAGAATGCAGTTGCCCTTCTGAGGGCAGTTGAGGCGGATAAACTCTCAAAGAGACGGTCCTCTATCTGGGCGGCAGGTGGTCAAAGGAGAAGGATGATGAGTCAGCCTCTTTTCATTAATTGGAGTGCTTTGCGTTGGAGATTTGTCGGTCCGTTCTTGTTGTGCTTGGTTTGTCCCGATATCAAGTGCTTTTGGTAATATTTTAACATATTCTATTTCTCTCTGGACTTGATGATGCATTCATGATATTCCACGCTGGTTCAGCACTAAAGCATCTGCATTGTGTGAATGCTGAATACACAGAGTACACGATCCCCCTCCAACCAATTGTACCCGGATTTCATCTCGACACAATACCAACTCTTTATATAAAACATAAACCGCTCACTAGTCGGGAGGTTTTTACTTCACCTTGGCCCTCGATCAATAAATAAAGCTTTCAGGGGAGACGGAGCGTTTACTGAAACTGTGCTGGCGTATTATTCAACGGTTTCGTGCCTCTCGTGTGGCAGCAGCGTGTTTTTCTCATGGAAAACCCCTCTTTCCAAAGCAAACAGATGGAGCGGAACCCTCGCACGGATCCTGAGGTATCGCTCTTCTATAAACACTCGGATCACGTCCAGGGACGAACGTGACGCACAGCTGGAGGCTCGAGATGATTCAACCTGAGAGGAAATAGCAGCATCTATTTTAAATACGGTACCCGCGCTGTCCCCGTGGCACGGTTTGAATTCTGTTCCCTGATCCTCGTCACACAGGGAGACGTGATTCTTTCACGACGATCTAATGACAGATTCTACGGCTTCTGATTCCAACGGATCAGACAGATCCGCGTGTCTTCTCCATCTAAAAGGTCCATCTCCTGCTCGGCGCCTTCGTCCTGCTCGGATCAGACGCAGGGGGGGGGGGGTCACGGAGACGTGGCGAGTCTGAAATTGTCCGGTTGTGGACGTTGCTGCATGTAAATGAAGGAATTCAGTCCGGCGTGGAGAGTAAACAAGCAGAGCACGAGGGGAAGCGCTCAGCGTGGCTGAAATGAGGAATTAAGTGCCGGAAGACTTCCTGTTGTGATGGTGGCAACGTGTCTGCAGGAGTTAAAACTGGGGGGACAATAATTGTCTTTGATGGACTGCTGAGTTTTTCTGTCGATGAAGCGGTTCTCTTTGTACGTCTCTTACTCACTTTGTGTCTTTGTAGTTATTATTTGTCTTTTTTTCTTGTCTCTTTGTATTTTCTTTGCAGCCGTTTCAAGTTTTTTTCATTCCTTTGGTTTGTTGTGTTTCTCCTTTGTAGTCATTTTCTTTTGCGTTGTGGTCGTTTTGAGTGTCCTTCTGGCCGGCACGTGTCTCTCTGTGTGGACATTTTGTAGGTGAAGGTGGGTCACTGGTGTTTTGTGTTCAAATTAGTAATTGTTTTAAATATTTGGGATCATTTAACTTTTTTGTCTTTCTTTCTACAAAGAGTATGAATGGAAAAAGCCTAAAGAATATTACACTTTCCCCTTCATGTTTGAAGGCAATGCACATTGTCTGAAGAATATTACTGGCACTTTTAAGATTTTAAGACTTAGTTTATATTGAATAAGTGTTCTGATATACTCCAAAATAAGACAAAGAGTTCTTTCTTTGTCATTTCACTGGTGGAATTTGCTCTCCCGAGCTGCCAACCCTCATATAACTATGACTCAAGCATTGATGTGGCATAACAAATGTGTCTTTGGTGTGTGGAACATTTCCCATTGCTCAGCCACTCAGTGTGTGTGCGTGCGTGTGTGTTTTCTTTGCAGAGATCCGCGAGGCCTTTAAAGTCTTTGACCGTGATGGGAATGGGTTCATCTCAAAGCAGGAGCTGGGAATGGCCATGCGCTCCCTGGGTTACATGCCAAACGAGGTGGAGCTGGAAGTCATCATCCAGAGGCTGGACATGGACGGTGAGGCAAACAAACCACTCTGCTTTCATTAGCGCTAAAACTGTAATAAAAACCAGCCGCAATAAACCGTCCCTCTCTTCGCAGGCGACGGCCAGGTGGACTTTGAGGAGTTTGTCACTCTTCTGGGCCCAAAGCTGACGGCAGCTGGGTTGCCAGATAAGTTCCACGGCACTGACTTTGACTCCGTTTTTTGGAAGGTGCTCATGATTCAACCATTTTCTGCCTTTTAGCAAGAAGAGAGAGACAGCATCTGTAGGCAACCTATCGAGTGCAGAAGCACGCAGACTCCCACAGTGACACTTTAAAGCAGAAACAGTTTTCTAATGGTTTCTAAACCTTGGAGATGTGCGGATTCCCTCAAAAGATGGATCCCTCATCAAGACTTTGAATTGCCACCCCGACCTCTTTGCGCGTGTGTGGCGACATTAAAGTCAATTGTTATGTAAAATACAGACACTTTGTAACACTTTGAGAGCGGGGCGACATTAATGGGATGGAGCCCGCGTTTGAGCATCCTTTGTCAGTAGTTATGCGATTAGGAAGCCTCCAAATAGAGAGCGAAAGAGAGGGAACTTGTGGGAATTCACCTGATGGGGGAGTCAAGTAAGGATGAGGAACTGAGGCTGCATTGCCTCACATAAATGATGTAACACAATAGTACTATCGAGCACGTTTCTGCAGGATTGATCACGCGGAGCCCCATTGGAACAAGCCGACCAGAACATGAGTAACATAGATGAGCCACAGATCCTCCATCAACTCATTTGCTGTATTTTATTGTTAGTTTTGGTCTCAGTAATTCTCTATTTTATTGAATTCTACCTTTATATAACACCATTGTGGTTGTATAACTAAGTGCCATTAGTCATAAAGTGAACTTAAATAGTTTAATTTTTTTAATGCCTAAAAGAATAAAATGCATTGCTGTTAATTTAAATTGCACCACCTAACAATTATCATACATGCGGTTGGTATTAACGTAATCCAACGAAACATTGTGAAGTCCATTAGGACTGTCCAAGAGGCGCAGCACTCGACTAGTGCACTTTATGATATCGTGCATACGCTTTGTCGATAGTTCTACTGTGTTTATTCATGTGAAATTTTGAATGCAGGACTTACTGGTAATTATTTTATTTTTTGTGGGATATTTCTACCACTCTTTTAAGTAATGTCTTGTTCCACATCTGCATAATGCATGAGCATTTACAAAAAGTGAAAAAGTTGTTTTATTATAGAAGCCATCATATAAGTGATGCAGTATAATCTTCACATTTTTAACTCGAACATACGAGTGAAAAAAAAAAAAGCGATTTAAATCTGCAGTTTGAACTCAGACGTCTTCTTAGAGCGATTCGTATTTTAATTACATCCCAACTCAAGTTCCTTATCTTTAATATGGCTCTTCCTACTTTCTGTTTATTTATCTTCTTAAAATATACACTGCATACGCCGCGTTCCATTCGCTGTTCATTTGAGCATTTTTCACACCCTTTTTGCGTGTCGTGTGTGCGTGTGGCTGCATGCCGTATATGCGTTGTGTTGGTAGTTGTCGTGTCCGAGTTAATGTTCAGTCATGTGTGTCCACCTCCAGTGTGACATGCAGAAGTTAACGGTGGAAGAGCTGAAGAGGCTCCTCTACGACACCTTCTGTGATCACCTTTCCATGAAAGACATCGAGAACATCATCATGACGGAGGAGAACCACATAGAGAACCCGGGGGAATGCCAGGTGGACATAGACAGTAAGGAAGAACTTCACTCAGACTCTCACAGGCTTCTGCGGATGTGATGCTACAGGATGTCAAGTTGGAATTAAGCCGGGGACATTACAGTGAGGCTGGAGGCATCTCGACCTGGAAGCTAGGATATGCTCTTTTCAAAATGTAATTTAATCTTGGCAAGGGCCCTTAACTTGATCTTCACGCTTTGTGGGTGTATTCCTGTAGAATTTGAACAAACTGTGGTGGAAATTTGTGGATTAAGCCCTTGTGAGAAATCAAAAGCATCTTGAACTTGCTTTGTGATTAAGTATTTATTACTAACTAGAATATAGAAAAATGATTAAGAAGCGCTCAGTGCTGTGTGCAGTGACATGGCGCCACCTCCGACATCTGCAGACGGCCTCCATCGGCGTCGCACAAGCCTCCAGGATGAGGCCGAACTGTGTAATCACGACTTGTCCGCCACGAGAAGGAAAAAAACATCTCCTGTCCGCGGATACTTTAAAAAACGTATTTCTCAAGTCATAAAAGTTGTAGGATAAACTAACCCAATTTCAGAGTTACTTTCATTGGATTTATATAATGTGTAGGTTTAGTGATGGAACCATAACCAACTTATTTGTACGATTTCCGTTGAAAAAATGATCCCTAACCCTTAAAAAAATACAGATGAATGCAGCTTTTCTTTAGCATCTCGAACAGAAATAAAGGATATATATATACATATATACAAGGCAAGGCGAGCATCCTTTAATATGCCAGGCAGGTGCCAACGCATCTGTTTGTTGTTCCAAAACTGCAATCAACATTTTAATCTAGATGCATTACCGCAGCACACAGGTGCGGAAACAATTTTTTTTTTGGCATCATCCCTCCGATATAATTGTGTTTGTGTAATTGTCAAAGCCCTGTGATGAGCTTTTCAATCTGTAATCGAGATACCTTTCAAACATTAAACAGACCTTCAGTTAATGTCTTTCCTCTTCCCCCCCCCCACAGCTTCCAGCCCGACGCAGCATGTCAAGCAAACATGCGTCCGCAAGAGCCTGATATGCGCCTTCGCCATCGCTTTCATCATCAGCGTCATGCTCATCGCAGCCAATCAGGTGCTGCGCAGCGGCATGAAATAGGAGCGCCGGCGCCTTCGGCCTGGACCGCCACCTGACAGGTGAAAAAGAATTACAGATAAATGACTGAAGAGATCAAACTACACAAAACAACAACAACAACAAAAGAAGAGCAACAACACATTCAACAGACAATCCGGAATACGACTGCAGAAAAACTACAGGACACCACACGTGCAGGAATTTGACTAAACATATCACTCTTCGTAATACGACGTTTAGTGTCCATTAGCAATGTGCATCGGCGCCGTGCTGCATTCAGTGTGGTGGCAGCGATAAAGAGAAGTGCAGTGACTGTCCAGCTCTGTGTCCGCCCGGCGTGCCGCGCAGATGATCATGAACGAGGAAATCAAGTAAACCATTGTGGGGAGGATTGAGGGAAAATGTATCCCCGAGGCTGCAAGGTGTTGTTGTGTGCGAGGTCTGGAGCTGCGTGCTGTTGCGTGGATGGTTTTCGCTGGTTCACAGGCGGCGGCGCGAGCATAGTGAAGCAGGTCAACGGCTCACAGGTTGGACGACGCTGTTGTGGTAACTGGCTGGACGTGCAGTAAACACTCTCTCTTTCTCTCTCCACCGCGGGCCTTTGTGGGCCTTCAGAGAATGACCATCATCTATGCATGAAATGCATGGATTTAGTCGTCTTGACACGTTTGTGAAAGTTCTTCTCAATGTATAAATCATTGTGACTGTGTAACAGCTGTTTTCAATTCCTAAATGACAACTGTGAGCAATTGTGGGTTTGGTGTCGTGCAATCGGCAATTACAGCAAAAGCAACGCGTACGACTGCATGAAAAACGAGGGCTGCTTTAGTATATGATAAAATAAAATACAATAAAAACTCAAGAGCAACCCAGGAGTAACTCAAGGGCAACCCAAGAGTAATTCAAGAGCAACTCAAGGGCAACCCAAGGGTAACCCAAGAGTAACTCAAGAGCAATCCAAGGGTAACTCAAGAGTAACTCAAGAGCAACCCAAGGGTCACCCAAGAGTAACTCAAGAGTAACTCAAGAGCAACCCAAGGGTAACCCAAGAGTAACTCAAGAGCAACCCAAGGGTAACCCAAGAGTAACTCAAGAGCAATCCAAGGGTAACTCAAGAGCAACTCAAGAGAAACCCAAGAGCAACCCAAGAGTAACTCAAGAGGTACTCAAGAACAACCCAAGAACAACCCAAGAGTAACCCAAGATAAACCCGCTTCAAGATGTTTGTCTTTCCTCGTTTTTTTGTCTGGACGCGTTGCTATGGAGCAATAAATGTGTGTTAAAATAGTGTGTCTCCCAATGCTTTGGACAGACATGAATCTTGAAAAAAACGTTAGTGGCGAGGGACCTGTAAACTGTTGAGGTCAAAAAGGTTTCTAAGTACCTTTTTCAAATTGAGGTTTTTGCAATGCGACGGAGACATTGAGGACATGGTCCCCTTGTTCAGTGAGATGCAGACAGATGAGTGAGGGCCGTGTGTTCCAGAAGCTTCCCAGTACATTGAACTGTTGCAATAAAACACGACTCTCTGAAAAGCACCGCCTGCATTTGATGAAGTAAAGTTGTGCATGCATCCGAGTCATTATCAATGTGCATTGTACATAGAAATCTACCAAAGCTTTAGGGGTGGGGGCTCAATTGTACTCCTGATCGGATCAATAGACCTTCATCAGTAAAGATACTTGATACCTAAAACCAGGTATAAAGTTTTAAAACCAAATTTTTTACCAAGATGATTGGAAAATAAAAGAAGAAGATAAATGCCCTTTAAAACAAGAGACTGCAATATGGAGATGTAAAGACTTCACATTGTATGAATATCTGCTTTTGAGATCTATCGGCCGCTCCCTAAACTAACTAAAGGTCCAGAACCTTCCAGAGGCAACAAAATGAAATCGCCCAGAGCGAGACAACGATTATCCAATTCGTGCAGGCAATTCATCAAAAGCGTCAACTCTTTGGGGAACGCACTCGAAACAAAAAGCCCATTTATCAACGGTTTCCATTTATGCACTTTAACATGTGCTGCAGCGCACAACGGCAACTCACCGCCATGATTGTCCATCCACTTCCTGTTACAGTTTGAGAAATGACTTTACCATAGATGTCTATTTTTGTGATAAGGATATGAAGGAATAGAGTAATACATGATGGACAATTATACTGTCCTTAACTATTATATGGGGAGTAAAACGATCCTTACTCTTTGGGAGACTTGTGCATAAGCGTTAAATACAGCAATCATATAACTATGATTTATCACTAGAGCAAAGTGTACAAACCAATTTATTTTTACCGATGAATTCAAAAATGTATGAAAACATGTTGATAGTCTACTGAATGTTCTATTTCCATTGTACTGTACTTTGATACTTGTGTTTGGATCCTGCAAAACATGTTTATTGAATGTGATACGTGTTTGTCGACTCCACCCGACGTTTTCTGTGGAATGGTAATTCACACGAATAAAATAACCATTACGTGTCTGTGAAACAGTTCTCCGTTTGTCAAATCCTCCATCAGGGTGCTCGAGACGACTTTGTGAAAAGCTGAGGGTGAGTTTGGCTTCATCGATTGACAGGCTGACACTCCAGATTGAAATCCATGATGGATATTTCAAGGTCAGCTGACTCCGTGGATTCGCTTTTTTCCATTTTAAGGAAACCCTTTGGCTTAGCAGAGGGGTTTGGGCCCCTTCTGGCCCATTTATTGCAACAAAATTGTCTCTTATATCACCTCTGTTGACCAGATGGTCAGGCCGTTCTGTTCTCGCAGTCTAAGAGACTGTTTGCAGCGCTCATTTATTAGAGGAAATGCTGCTTTATATGTACCTGCAAACAGATTTCTATCCAAGTTATCACGTCATAGCAAACGGTACATTCAGTAATCAGCAACAAACCAACACTGGTAGTTTTCCCTTCAGCTACGGTGGCCTGTAATGTTCAGTTAGTGTGAAAAAAACCTTCAAATGCTTTTCCCACAAATGAACTTGTTAATGCCTCCATGTATCTTCTGTGTGGCAGGTTCCTGCATTATGCAATTTTATTGTTGTATTTTGATGAGCACATCTAGTTCCGGACGGTGACTACTTTACATTTGATATTGGCTACAATAAAAAAATGATGTCAACAACAGAACGAGAGGGCCGTATAGAAATAAATTCAATTCTTATCGACTATATTTGCACAACTGCAGCATATTTGCATGGAAATGTTTTCCATCCATCTTTGCCACAAACAGCATTAAAATCTCTCAAGTGTCAATTGTTGAGAGAGTACAACATTCCCGTGAAATCAGACAACAGGAGGACAATTGATGTTGCATGTTATTGACGCCTAAAATAGAAAAGGCAGAAAAAGATACAACTGCATTATCCTGTCCCTCTGGGGGAAGTCATACATAAATGAATATATTACAGAAAAAAACATGTAAGAAATAGATTTGGGAATGAAATAGTTTTCAGCGCACAATTGAAACACAATTCTACATTCACATCTGTGCATGTTACCACTATAAAGAAGATTATTATTGTTATTTTGTGTGTCCTTTTCTTTCCAGCCCGACACGCTCCACGAGGCTCCAAATGGCAGCACAAGCCAGAATGAATAACAGCATTGTCATTCCTAAAGGCAAAGGAAATAGGAAAAGTATTTCATTTATTTCGTCTCAACATTAAATCAGTTACTCAACGCCTCAAGGTGAACACTGGTAATCAAAGGAAATAACCGGCATGACTTTCATCTCTTTTTGGTGTCTGCGTAGCAACTGTACACACACAAAAACAGAAAAGAGAAAAACACTCAGCCGCTAATGTCCAGCGAACCGCCACGGCGACCCGATGGTCGACGTAGGTCAGAAAATGAAATCACACACAAACACATGAACCGTAATAGCAGGAGAAGAGGCACTTGTTAGTCTCCACGTGGGGCCGGAGAGCCAAAATCAGGAGTCGGTTTTATCGACAGCGACTCGTTGCGACTTTATTACTCAAGTCACTGTTCGCAGAGAGCTCCGATGCTAAAGGGCGCTGGAGTTCACTTCCAGCCGCTCCCTCACCTGCACGTCTGTGCAAACCAGCCAAGTTGCAGCTCACATCACGCCTGTCCAAAATATCATCACTCAATTTCTTCATCCGATTAGACGTCATCGTTGATTCCAAGTGGACGTTTTTTGTTAAATTCAGAGGAAATTCCTTCCGGGTTGTTTTGAGACATCATTGGAGTTGGTCAGTTTACATTGAACTTGACCCTCAAACACCAAAGTCTACAATCAAGACCTCGTGGTATTCCTGAGGGACGAGAATGGATCAGATGACGCGTGATGCCTCCGTGTGACATTTTCTCCATGCTGCTTCAGAAGACGAAGCCAAAGACGTAGGTGTTTCTTTATAGGACTTGAACGGCAGGTGCGGCATGAACCCAGAGAGAGGACACGTTTAGAAACGTTTACTCCCACGGGCTCTGCAACCCCCTTAGTGGAGGCTTGTTCATCTACAGTCAAAACAAAATGTTTTCCTCTCTACTATACCCAAATACCCAAATAAGCGCCAGGGCTTAGTGTATTATCAGCTCAGCCGATATGCTTCTCTACCAGGGATGATCAAACCCATTGTGGAATGGAACAAATTACAGCGCAAATAAAAGTTTGTTCCGGGGATCTGCGACTCTACATAAACATATTTGAATAGATAAGCGCATTTTCACACTGGAAGACAATATCCATGGGGGAAAACACTGAATGTTTATTAGCGGCTGATGATGCCGAATGTGCATTTGTGTGCAGATTGTGAATGTTTGTGCAAAGTAGAATCTGAGCTCAAGCTTGGACCATTAAAGGAATGCACACGATTTGAATCAGTGCATTTTGCAGCGTCAGATGCAAGCGGAGACGCGTCAGGCTGCGCGGTGATTTCCCGCGGAGCGCGAGTGATTCGATAGGAATGAGTCTCACAGAAGCGCCAGAAGAGGCTTTTCTCATCCATCACCGAAAGGCCTGTTTAGCTGAAAACAGGGATCTGAACACACCAATGGTTCATTATTACAATCTCAGATTTCATTGAGTGCAGAGTCCGAATTGTTTAAATGGGTTTTAATTAATATTAAATTATTATTTGGGTTTATTAGGTTATTGTGGGCGTCAAATGAATGCACAGCGCTGTAAATTTGCTTTCTCTGTGCAATACATGCATAAACATGCAAGGCTTTGTGTGCTCCACAAATATAAAATGTACATTGGCTATTGATTAAACTCCAATACTTTTTGATCTCTCAGCCTCCTCCTGTTGATTTGGGAGTTAAAGTTTGACTGAGGGAAAGACGAGGATTAGGAAAAAGAATAAAACACTTAATAAGTATTGGTTCAGCATAATTCTGACCAAATAAAGACCGAACATATCTTGTTGAACTGATCATGGCGGATCACATAAGAGGGATTCTTTTCTTCAGCTGTCAATATCTTTATTCAGAATAAACTCACATTACAACCTAATTGACGTGACCCGCTTGAATCACCTGAAAAACGAAACGGCAAAGGACGTAATGCCGAACCTGAGGCCTCGAAAGCGGAGTCCACAAAGAAATGTTTGTCCACGTCACCGGGACGACGTCCTCTTCTTTTGGGGATTTCTGTGATGATGACCTTTGTATTTCAATAATAGTGACAATCTCCAGCAATCTGTGTTTCCTGTGTTAGTTATGTTTAAGACTGCAGAGACGTCCGATGCTGACGGGCTCAAAGAGCTTGTTACCCTCTAAAAACAGTTTCAAACAGTGTTTGATGATAAGTATCTGAATATTTGACACAGTCCCTGGAATACTTCATGAGGAGGCTAAAGGACGGTGTTGTGTGTGTTTTCCGTATTTTACTAGTTCTTTATAAAGAAATTTCTACCTTCAGCTTTTTAATGGAAGTTGGAAACCATTCAGGAAATAAACAAACATATTGATGAGACTATAAAAGAGAAATTTACAACCCTCTGAGACAATTAATGTGGTTTGTGTCTAGCTTTAAAACATTTCAATCAAGAGTTTAAGTAGCAGGAAATGTTTTTTATTCTCTGTCCATGCCTAATGAGATGGTGTTGGAAAAAAACGCCCGCTCATTCCACCTTTACAAAGCGCTTAATTGAAAGCTTAAGGTCACCGCGAGCCAAAGGCCCCTGTTGGCCAGTTTCACGAGCAGTCGGCAATCCCTTTAAAATACATGCAGCCTGGACCTTAACTTGTAGAGGGAAGTGACCCTCTGCCTGCCGGCGACCCGCAACTCCAGTCCAGCTCCTCCGCGGGGACGCGTGATGTCCCACAAGGTGTCCCAGCAGGTGCCAGATTACAGAGTGAATGGAAACACGAGGCACGGACGTGTAGACCTGATATACCGTATAGACCCACGCAGAGAAGTGGGGCGGTGAGTCAACTCCAGTTGAATTGGTCAGGATCGACTGTAATTCATTTAATGTTTTATACGTCACTACTTTACTGTGATGTGTGGGCTTTAGCTTCTCTGCTCCACCTGTTTTTGCTTCTAATCCTGAACCCTGAATATATATATATACATATAAAATCTGATTGATGCTCAAATCTTATCCAGTGTTGTTGCGCTTCCTTTCTCCATCTGCTTTTTGGAGTAGTGCAGCACACAGTGCATCAATGGGGAGGCGGGATCTTTTTTTCCTACCCCCCAAAAAACGATGTTTTATGGATATGAGTGGTTTCACTGCTCATCTCAGTTCTTTAAAACGAACAGAGACCTGTGCCTCGTGTTTTTCGGTCTCTGCACTTGTCTGCAGTGGCGTTATCATTCATGCCGTGGACACCAGACAACAGCTCGATTGGATCAGGAGTCACAGAACTTAATTGAATTGAAGATGCTCCCCCCCCTGCCTAGAAAAGAAAGACCAGGCAGAGTAAGAATTTGCATTAGATGGTTAAAGTGCATTAAAGAGCCAAATGGCCGTCGGATACAGCAGAACATGCAGAACGTATCAGGAAGCTTCTTGGTGAGGTCAGCGTGACTTTTCCCTCCTACACTCTCACAACAAACAACTTTAATACTTTTTTCAGGAAACACCTCGAAACGGATATCAGAGCACCATAACTAAAAGTCAAAAAGTATTTGCTTGTGACCAATTCAGGATTTTCTAATGGAAGGAAGACTTTGAGGTGATCACAGAAAGATGGTTCATGTGCTCATTCCTCGCCGTTGGGATCCATCCAGCGTCCTGGAGGGAGAATGTTCATCGTCACATACTATGAAGGGATGGACCAAATGCACACTAGCCCAACGTCTTGGCCATCTGCCTTTACCAGGTCGGGGTTGCTCACGTGGATCGGAGTGGTAACAGAGATACTTCAGAATGCGAGCGGGTCCACAGCAGCGTGTTTGTTTTCACCACCTGTCTGCTGGGGCTGTTTCATTACTAAAGGAAGCGGCATGAGCCCAGGTGTCCATCGATTAAATACCCGACCACGGATATATTTAAGTATTTCGCTTTTCAT